ACAGGCTGCCCAGGGAAGTGGCTGAGTCCCCATCCCTGGACGTATTTGAAAGACTGGTAGACATGGCACTTAGGGACACGATTTAGTGGTGGGCTTGGCAGTGTTAGGTTAACAGTTCAACTTGATGATCTTAAAGGTCTTTTCCAAACTAAATGATTCTATGATTCTGTACAAATCGTTGTGACTTAATCACTTCTGAGTAGTCTTCAAAATGGAATTTTAAGTGCTTGAAGCATGATTTTTAGGATATAAAAATATTTCTCTGCTCACAGGAAATGCAAAAAAGGAAATTCAAAGAGGTAAGTGTAGCAGCTTTTCTTCAGTTTTTTCTGTCTATAAAACTCTCTGGTCCTTTAGAACAAGTTAAGCTGAGCTCAGGAAATATTAGTGACTGTTTTGGTTTTGTAAAATAAAATTTTAAAAAGTCATTGCAATACCTTTTATATTGAGCGTTAAAGATAATCGGTGCCCACTGCAAAGAAGTGGACTAATGCCATGGAGAAGTTTGATCTATGGCTGGTATTTTTTGCTGAGTATTTGAGCTTGCAAATTGCTCTGTTGGTTAATTTTTGTAAGTTAATGTGTTCTTAATGATATAGTTCATCTGATCTGCACCATGTTCTTTTTTTTTGCAGTACAGGTTAAGGCTTGGTGTTGGTTTGTGCACTTTGCCATGCTCTGCAGTGATAAATGATATTTTTATAAAGTCATGTTTATGATTATCTGGACATGGTTCAGTTGTTTCAACATAAGCACTAAGAACCGAAGAACCATCTGCAGGTGGGTGTGCCAATGCCATTCAATCACATCCTCGTTAAAGGACTAGATCTGGTTTTTCCCCTCTAGTTCCGTCATCGGAAGTACTTCAGTGTACCGAGGTGAATTTCTTGACCAGTCTTTTTGTTACCACCTTAAGGGAAGGTGCCATAATGAAGACAATAACTCCGACTGCCTTATAGCCTGGGAAAATCTGGTTGTTTTTATGAAGCTCAGATCATTTCATTTTATTTTACCTCTTGCTATACAGAACACAGTGGAACACATAGAAAAATTCAATGTATTTGGGTTTAAAAAAAAAGAGAGGAAAGGAAACGGTGGTTTAATATTTAAACATTATCTCTTTCAGAGATAGATCAACTCAACAATAAACTAGGTAAGAACATATTTTGACTTTTTTGTTATGTTGGTTTTGAGTAGGTCCTGTGTGTACCCGCAGGTGATTCAGCTCACCTAAGTAGTTATCTAAATTTTGGGCACTGAGGCTAAGGCAGTATTCTTGGCTCCCTCATTGAGAGATGAAGGCATCCAAGAGTAGTTTCAGATAGGTGGTTGAAACAGCAGAGAAGAAAAACTTTCTGATATGCCATTCTCTTTCTCCTGACTCTACACAGTGCCCAGGTGACTAGCTTGGTTTAGATAAACTCTAGCCCTCCAAAGTTAAGTTAGCATCAGTTCCCAAATGCTAGACCAGGTCATACTTAAGTAATGAAGTATGGGAAATACTCCTATTAGCAGAGAAACCCTACAGAAGAGTCCTGTCATGCATGAGGGTAATAGAACTTTCTCTACTTTTCACAAAAAGTCCAGAATGAACTGGGTAAGTGGAAGCTGAATACTAATTTTAACAAACCTACATGCCTCCAAGCCCATACTGTAATACAATGAGGTATATTAACATTCTACAATACTTTTAATTCATCACTCATTTCATCTCCACGACAGCTGCTGCTCCCTGGCTTGGGCTTGTGACGGCTCTGTGTTATTTTGCCCTTCAGTCAAGGGGAGAAGTGGTGGCCCGAGAAAGAGAGAATGGACCCCCGGGGAAAGGGAATAGCGTCCCCTGGGAAGTAGGAAACTGCCAGGGTGAATTCCCTTCTGTGCCACAAGGTGGGGCGGGAAGGGATGCCGAGAAATGGGACTGCGTGCAGTGCGGTGCCACTGTGGGTCTGTGCTGAGGGGAGCCCTGGCTGGGGACAGGTGCTGATGGAGGGTGAGTCTGCCTTGCCAAATGAGACCCAGGCTTTTGGACCTGTCTTCCTTGGAGTCGGGTGCTAAGCAACGTGTTCTCCCTTCCCCCCTCTCTTCTTGCAGAGAACCAGGAGAAGGAGATTGGTGAGTGTTGCTGTCTCCCTGGGGGTCGTGTGTGCAAGGAGATCGTGGGGTGTTGTGCCAGGGTGGGACAGTGGTGGGCAAGTCACTCCTGACTCCACAAGATAGCCAGGAGAGCCCGCAGTGTGAGCGTGAGGGCTGTGAGGAATGCTGAGAGACAGCTGGCTTGGAGGCAATCTCTGCCCACTTTGCCTCTGTTTCCTTGCACCAGACGTTCCCCGGGGAAAGGGCCTCTAGTGGCAGCCATGGCCCTTGCCACAAGTGAGGTTTGGGGTTGCCATGGCGGGGGTCTGGTGTTGTCCAGGCTGGTGGAGGCTTTGGTGCAGGCAGGAGCATGAGGGCAGGAGCTGTTGAGGCAAGAGCGTGGTGTGGCTGATGGGGTGGAAAGCCTGGGTCCGTGAGCAACCCTGGCTTGTGGTCGGGAAGTGGGTGTTTGTGGCTGGTGGCAAGAATGCCAAGGTGGAGGCCCGTGACGGTTAACTCCAAGGAGCACGAACCATCCCCCATGCCGGAGGAGTTTTTCATGCCTGCCTGGGGTGGGTGGTCCCACGGTGGACTGGCGTGCAAGGACCCCATGCCAGAGGAACCAGCCCCCATGCCCCCATCTCTTCTTGCAGAGATCTAGAAGAAGGAGTTTGGTGAGTGTCACTGTCTCCCTGGAGGCCTTATGTGCCAGCTAATAATGAGGTTTAGGGGACTTCATAGTGTGTTGCTTGTGGTGTTCTGGCTGGTGGAGTCTTTCATGTTGGTAGGAGAGTGAGCGAAGGGTGTGTTGAGGGAAGGCCATGATGGGGCTGGCAGGGCTGGAGAGCCTGTTACACCAACCAGCCATGGGACCTGGTGGGAAAGTGGTGATGATGGGGTACTGAAGAGCTCCCTGCTAGAGTCAGAAGTATGTGAGATGCAGCTCTAAGGAGCATGAGTCATCCGCCATGCCATTGTTTTTGTCGCTTCCTTGGGCAGAATGTCCCAGAGTGGACTGATTTGTAAGTTGTTGTTCTTGTCCCGACTTGGTGCCTTCTTCTCTTGCTGCCCCCGGTAACTTGGCAGAGAAACTGTGTGCAAAGGATAGTGAGTCTTTCTGGTTGCCTACAAGCTTTTGTGTTTAGTGTCACTGAAATTTGTATGTCCTTTCCTGTCCACTTTACTTGGATATATAGAATCATAGAATGGTTTGGGTTGGAAGGGATGTTAAAGATCATCTAGTTCCAACCCCCAAATGACACCTGAATCTTGAGGAAGCTGTTTCCCTTATGAAGGCAAACCTAATCCATGGGAATAACTCACAGTAGCTCAAATGGTCCTGTTTATAAATGCTGTACTCTTCCCATGCCCTTTAGTTACCTCCAGCTTTAACAACCTGGCTATACTTAGATGTCTGTTGCTCTCTGATGTGCAAAAGATTACCTCACATCACTTGTGCCTCTCAGCCTTTCCAGTTGGAAAAGGTCCTCCTTGTATACATAGGAAGAACAAGAGCTCCTTTAGGAATGACTGTGAATGTCACGTAGATCTGACTGCATGGAAACCTACGGTGACTTCAGAAATAGTGGGTTAAAGTATGGCATTTCAGGATATGGCTGAACTTTGGTGTTAATAGAGTTGTCTGTGTCCAGAGTCATCCTGTAGTGCTCCCAAGTACTGATGTCTAATCCATAGCAACGTTTTCTTTCTGTGCATTTATCTTATTTGCAGTGGATTGGAGGAAAGAAATTGGTAATTCTTGTCTCTGAAGTCCCTCAAACCTAGTGAAAGGGAAAGTCTGAAGAGAGGAAGGGATGGTTCTTGTATTAGAGGACAGTGGATTTAGAGCTTGTAACTTGACCTCCTGGGGCTTCAAAGCCTTTCCTGCATGCAGTTCCAGGTGCACATCTCACACCTGTCTGTTCACATGCTCAGACACTCAGCTAAAACTTGATGTTTTTCACATACAGACGCTTACCTTTGAGCTAATCCTTTCAGCTCACATCTCAGGACTTCATGATCCTACCTGCTGGGTGATCTTTTCATCCCTCACACATAAAAGCACACGCTCAGCTGATTCTGCCCTGGCAAATATTTACTCGTCTGTCTTGACTTCTCAGCAGCTTGGTTTGTATAGCAGACTCTCAGCCTGCCACATCTTCTCCACTCTCCTTCCCTGCCTCGCCACTATTGCATAAAGCTGTCATGGTTGCATGGACCCAGAAACTCACCAGAAAGAGCATTCCCCACTTCCTTTGGAGGACTAGGGAAAATTTACCCAGCCTGTTCCTTTGTATCCACCCCGCCTGAGAAATTCACAAAATGTGGCTGAAACTGATTTCCCTGAGTGTCACAAAGGGGACCGTCTCTTTTTGTGTCCCTGGAAATGCTGGGGTGCTGACCAGGGACCTCACATGGATTGAAATGTGGAGTGTGGCTGGCAAGGGCACCATGGAAAAGGCTGGAACAGCGAACTGGGACCTGAGAGAGGAAGCAGTTCCCAAGCAGGAAACTCATCCCAGCTTCAGATCCTTCTTCAGCCCTCACAGGTAATCACAGGGCTTGAGAGAGCAAGGGGGAATTTGAGTATCAGTTGACCTGCATGGTTTAACCTTAGACTCAGTCTGAGATTTCCCAACTTGGAGTTGGAAACGTTTTTCAGTCAATGCTTGGAGTTTGCTTTTTCTTACCTTTTCTTCTTTTTCCCTCCCCCCTCCGACCCTCCCATTTTCTTTCAGAATTCAGAAAGGCTCGTGGCAATGCAGGTAAAATAATGTATTTACTTATGTCTGTACTTAATGGCTTAAAATCTGTGAATCTTCCAGAAGCAGTGCTGAGCATGGACTGCATTGTGAGTCTACAAATGCCTTTTATTCCAGTGATATGGAGATATTTCACTTGGCAGTGAAATATTTGAAAGTTAAAGTGTAATTTCTATGTCTGAGTGTAGTCCTCCTTCACTGCAGGCTTAGAGATCTTTCTAGGCCTGTTGTAGGGGGATATTTAGAACAAATGCAATACAGTACAGTTCCCTTCTCTTCTTGCATATTTGCTTTAGAGGCGTGTGTATAAAGCCCCAAATATCTCTCTGTTGTAGATGACATCAAACTTGATGGGGACACAGCGCATCCAAGTTTGTCTATTGCTGCCAACAAGAAGAGTTTTATGCATAAATCACAGGCCCAGAAAGTGACTCAAAATGAAGGGCGTTTTGATTCATCTGTCTGTGTGCTGGGCTCAGAAGGTTTCTCCTCTGGGAAGCATTACTGGGAGGTGGACATTGAAAAAAACAATGACTGGGACCTGGGAGTAGCCAGAAAATCGGCTCCAAGGAAAGGAATAATATCTCTGTCACCTAAAGAAGGATTCTGGGCTCTGGGCTTCAGTTCCAAACGTTACTGGGCAAGAACTGATCCATGGGCACGGTTAGAGGTGCAGAAAAGTCCCAGGAAAGTTGGAGTTTACCTTAATTGTGAAAAGAAAAGTTTGGCTTTTTTCAACGTTACTGACATGTGCGTGATGTTCACGTTTAAAGACTGTGCATTCTCAGAAGAGGTTTATCCGTTCTTTAAAAGCTCACATGAAGAATCAACTGTGAGAATTTCTTCAGTCAAGGAAGACTAATTTTTTTTTTTAAGTATGGTAATTTTGTTGTGACATGAAAGATCATATAATTTTCTTAGGGAAATTTCAGGCTTAATTGCAATGTATGTGATAACATGTTCTTGATCACATTCTGTGTTACACGTAGTTCGATACTTTGCTTAAAGTGTTTTCCTTTCCCCCAGCATTTTCTGCGTGTATTTTTGTCCAAGACTTGCAGCGTGCATGCAGGAGTGAGCTGTCCTATGCCATGATTTCATAAATGATCTCTTTATCTCAAGAAGAATGTCTGTGGAGTCTTTTTTCTGAAAGTAGTTTCAGTCCTTACGAGGCATGTCAGCGATCATCATTCTCTGAGGTTTTGATCATCTGGACTGCCGCACTGTGTACTTATGTACAAAGCCCAGATTCACATCAAATTCAAATACACCCCAACAAATGCACAGCGCCCCAAGAAGGCAACCTCTCTCCATCAATTTTCTGGGTGGAATTATCAGAATTTTGGAGGAAAAGGGAAAAAAAAATTAAACCAGAATAATTTAAAACATAGTAATGTGTCTACACTTCACTTCTTGGCTGGAGAGCATGTCATCTGTGCTCAAAGAGTCTGGGAGACAACAACTTCATGCAGTGCTGCATCTCTCTGTCATGCTTTGAACGCTTGTGGTAGAGTAATGTGCTCTTCTAGTGCACAAGTAGCCCCGACAGAGCTGTCTGCTCCACAATATCTTTTGAATCCTGACCTTTTGCCAGGTCAAATGCAATTTAGTTGCCCAAATGTAGACACCTGTTGTTCTTTAAGATTCTTCAGGGCATCCAACATGCCTACATGTCGCTGGTCATACAAGGGTTGTGGGAGATGTGCACCTTTCTGAAGTGGCAGCTGGAGACCTCCTGAGACAGAAATGACAGTGGATGCTGAAGGATCCTTGTTTCCAGGCTGTCATGGTTATTTTCTGGGAACAGTCCTTTCTTCCATGGAATTTAAGCTTACCAGTTTTTGTCTGGTGCATCATGGAGATGGAAGATAATTTATTCCTTTGTTTTTGCATCAGTGATCTCAGGGTTATAGCTACATTCATACAGGAGTGTAGACCTCAGTGGAGCCTGATTTAATACCCACCCTGTTTTTCAATGAGTGTCACTAGCAAATTGTGAGTCAATTTTTAAGCAGGATTTGGCTTGCATTAATATTACATCTCCACCATCTCTTCACACAAATGTCTCATGATCCAAGTCCACAGTCTTTTCATAAGGTGAGATTCAGTCTGAGACAAAGATCTGAATGTTGGTGTCCACATATGAACTAGGTGTCTGTGCTTAATTACAGTGAATGGAGTTCTAAGCTGCCTCAACACAGATGTCTAGGGCCAGTTCAGACCTGTCAATCTATCTGAGACTGGCAGAGGTGACATAAGACTCATGGAAGACCCATGTCCTTTTGGGTCCCTCTGGCATCATTTCCTGCAAATCTGTTTTTAGCTGAAGTAAGTTTGTAGTTTTATTCCTACTGAACAGAACTGAACTTTGACACACAAAATAGCTGTTGGACACAAAATCCAGATGACGAATGAGCAGACTGTTATCTAAGGAACACAGAACATGCCAATGCCCTTGAATCGACAGAGAACTCACTCAAAACCCATGGCATAAGAGACAGAGGAAAAGCAGCCTGATACCCAGCTAGGCTGAGTCTTTGTTCCACTCTCTAGTTATGGGAATGCCTCCAACTTCTTATTCTTTATCATAAATTCTATAACATTGTTTAGGGACGGGAGGCAGGCAGTGCTATAGTATCCAAGATCCTTTCTAGGATCTTCCAAGGTCTTTTCCTCTTTACAAATATGATTTACAATGCCAGCCTGCCACTTCTCCAGCGATGTAGTCCTTTGCAGTGACAGGTCACACTGCTCTTCTCCCTGTGACAATGTACCTTAATCCACCTCAAAAACAGCAAATACAGTTGGCCAGATTCTGGTAAAAACAAAGCTACCAAATTCATGGAGTGACAGAGTAAATGATCTTAGAAGAGATCTCTGGAGCACTCTACTGCAGTCCCTCACACAGAGAAAGACCAGATTGCATGGGGGCTGGACTGAACTAGCAGCAAATCTGAGTGCTCTGAACTGCCCTTCTAGTAAGCCCCCATGAAGCATCTGGTGATTTTGTAGGTGCTGTTGTACATCCGGCTGGCAGGCAACAGCCACGCCAGAAGTGGAGAGGTCTCCATCGGTCCTGTACCACATGTCAGGCTTGAATAGGCATTTCCAGCTCCCTAGGACATCTGGAATGCCTGTAGGTATCTACGGTTAGGCAGCTAAATTCTGCTAGATTCAACACAGTCAGCTGAGAGTAGGGAGTGATTCCCGACTGGCTTTATCTGTCTAAACCAAGGCATCACATTCTTGTGTTTGACATCACATACGGTGCCTCATCTCATCCCAAAGACAGACACAGCAGCCTGAGAGAACAGATGGAGACAGCAGCCTCATCATAGCCTGAGAAAACCAATCTTCCTCAGCTCCTTAATATTATATGTTCCTGAAGTCTACAGAGATGTGTCCAAGGGGTCACTCAGAACAAGCAACCAGCCTAACACTAGCAAATGCCTCTCTCGTTTCAGAGGCATATAGACCCGCCCCCCCCCATTGTGTCCCTCCCTGTTACATCCAGATGTTTCAATGAAAAATATTAATGAGATAGCCAAGTATCATGCTTTAACCCCAGGAGGCAGCTCAGCACCGCTCAGCTGCTCACTCACTCCTCCATGGTAGCATGGGGGAGAGAATCGGAAGGGTAAAAGTGAGAAAACTCGTGGGCTGAGATAAAGACAGCTTAAGAGGCAAAGCAAAAGTCGCACACACAAGCAAAGCAAAATAAGGAATACTCCTCCATGGTAGCATGGGGGAGAGAATCGGAAGGGTAAAAGTGAGAAAACTCGTGGGCTGAGATAAAGACAGCTTAAGAGGCAAAGCAAAAGTCGCACACACAAGCAAAGCAAAATAAGGAATTCATTCACTACATCCCATCAGCAGGCAGGTGTTCAGCCATCTCCAGGAAAGCAGGGCTCCATCACATGTAATGGTAACTTGGGAAGACAAATGCCATAGCTCTGAATGTCCCCCCTTCCTTCTTCTTGCCCCGGCTTTATATGCTGAGCATGATGTCATATGGTAGGGCATATCCCTTTGGTCAGTTGGGGTCAGCTCTCCCAGCTGTGTCCCCTTCCACCTTCTTGTGCACCCTCAGCCTACTCGCTGGTGGGGTGGGGTGAGAAGCAGAAAAGGCCTTGGCTCTGTGTAAGCACTGCTCAGCAGTAATGAAAACATGCCTGCGTCATCAACCCTGTTTTCATCGCAAATCCAAACCACAGCCCCATACAGGCTACTGTGAAGAAATTTCACTCTTATCCCAGCCCAGACGAGGACACTGAGTGAACAGAGACCCTGGAAATGGAGATGCCACAGATCACAGCTGTGCACAAGAGCTCCATAGCCCTGTTACCATGGGTTCCCATGACTTTGCAGGCCACTTCAGCTCTGTCCATTGTCCCAATCCTACGGAAGCAAAAGAATGAATGACTTAATGCAGTCACCACCCACAAAGTTGATCTAAACAGACCTTCCAGTGAACTCTCATGCTGACTGTGCTCAACTACTGTTTAGTGTTGATAGAGATACATTTTATTCAGCTCGCTGAAAAACAAATGAGCTTGT